AATTATGATATGTCCGGGATGGGAGTGAGGAGTGATGCAGTAGAAATTGTGCAGGGGTGAGCTCCAGGCTATACGTAGTTACTCGTGCAATTGTGGATTGAACTTGTCAGGAGCAGCCGCGGCGTGTAGAACGGCACAGGCGCAGTGTGCTGATGTGCACTGGCGTGCGGGCACTAGGTCCTGGGCAGCCGCGGCGACGGCAGAACTCGCGCATGCGCACTCGCAACCATGGGCGCGCGCCTGGCACCAATGACAGTGCAAGGCGTGGTATTTAACTCCGCTCTGCACTGACACTGGTTGCCGTATGGTCTTACCTGTTTTGTTCCTGCTCCCGCTATCTGTCATTTGATTGTTGCCGACCCTGATTGATCCTGACCATGCTGCCTTCTCCTGCCCTGACCCCTGGCTTGCCTGACCTCTCTCTGGATGCTCCCTATTGGATTTGACCCCCTGTTACTGACCCGGCGAGTGACCCGACTATTCTGTGCCCGCTGCCTTGTACCACGCTGTCCCCACGGTTACCGACCCTGCCTGTCTGACCACGCTTCTGCTCAGCGATCCATCCATCCGTCCCGCAGGGACCCATCTGCCTCTTCACGTCAGGCTCTTTGCTAGCAAGATACCACGGGTGGGTGTACTCAGGGGCCGCGACCTGGTCTTTGTCTGCTCCAAGTCCATCCCCACCATCAGGGGCCCTGGTGAAAAAGCAGACTGGGACTTAGACTCCGCGCTCTGGGGAATCCTATTCCGTGGGTTGCTAGAGGTACCGCCGCAGTGCATTACAGAACTCTCCCCCAAAATGGCTGCAGCCTAGGGCAGTCCCACCAAATGTGCATAAGTGACAGGTACAGATGCTGATAAATCTGTAAGCTGATGATGTAACCTCAGCTATTCATATGATAATATAACTTAAGAATGTATCTTTACAACATATCAATGTATAATCACTAATCTATTTATGTATCAATATTAGAAACTTATACTAAATACACACAGATACTATTAAAATACATAATATAATAGTAAGTCTATAATGAGTCACTCCTAATACCTTTGACATTTTACTAGAGACCTAACCAGCTGTGCCTAAATATAGTATACTCAGCCTTCAGCTGGTACAGCTAGTCTCAGCTTAACTCCTGTCTTATTTAACTGTCTCAGCTTAACTTACTCATATCTTTCGGTCTCAGCTATAACTGAAGAATTGTAATACTACCATTTGTCAAAAGACCATTCACACATATTAAGATTAATTATGATTAATCATACAAATCAAATATTTTGCAAGCTTGCCATCAATATAAGTGCTGAATTATAAATTTGATTTTTTAATTTCTTTCAGCGGTATAGTGACGGGTTAGGGTGGTATAGTGACAGGTTAGGGTGGTATAGTGGCAGGTTAGAGTGGTATAGTTGCAGGTCAGGGCGGAATAGTGGGCGGGTTACGACGGTAGAGTGATGGGTTAGGGTGGTATAGTGATGGGTTAGGGCGGTATAGTGACGGTTAGGGCGGTATAGTGATGGGTTAGGGTGGTATAGTGGCAGGTTAGGTTGGTATAGTGACAGTTTTAGAGTGGTATAGTTACAGGTTAGGGCAGTATAGTGGCGGGTTAGGACAGTATAGTGGCAGGTTAGGGTAGTATAGTGACAGGTTATTGCAGTATAGTGGCGGGTTAAGGTAGTATAGTGACAGGTTAGGGTAGTATAGTGGCAGGTTAGGATAGTATAGTGACAGGTTAGGGTAGTATAGTGGCAGGTTATGGAAGTATAGTGACAGGTTAGGGTAGTAGTATAGTGGCGGGTTAGGGTAGTATAGTGCCAGGTTATATGCAGTATAGTGGCAGGTTAGGGTAGTATAGTGGCCAGGTTAGGGTAGTATAGTGGCAGGTTAGGGTAGTATAGTGCAGGTTAGGGTAGTATAGTGGCAGGTTAGGGTAGTATAGTGGCAGGTTAGGGTAGTATAGTGCAGGTTAGGGTAGTATAGTGCCAGGTTATGGCAGTATAGTGGCAGGTTAGGGTAGTAGGTTAGGGTAGTATAGTGGCGGGTTAGGGTAGGGATAGTATAGTGACGGGTTAGGGTAGTATAGTGGTTAGGGTATAGTAGGGTTAGGGTAGTATAGTGACGGGTTAGGGTAGTATAGTGGCACGGGTTAGGGTAGGGTAGTGGCAGGGGTTAGGGTAGTATAGGTGACGGGTTATAGTGAGGGTAGTATAGTATAGTGACGGGTTAGGGTAGTATAGTGGCGGGTTTAGGGTAGTATAGTAGTGAGGGTTGGGTAGTATAGTGGCGGGTTAGGGTAGTATAGTGTGGCAGGTTAGGGTAGTATAGTGGCAGGTTAGGGTTTAGGAGTATAGTGACGGGTTAGGGTAGTATAGTGGCGGGTAGTAGGGTAGTATAGTGACGAGTTGGGGTAGTATAGTGACGGGTTGGGGTAGTATAGTGGCGGGTTAGGGTAGTATAGTGGCAGGTTAGTTAGGGTAGTATTAGTGACAGGTTAGGGTAGTATAGTGGCAGGTTAGAGCAGTAGAGTGTTAGACTAGGGCAGTATGTGGTGTCATGGTGTTACCTCATGGCTTGAAATCAAAGACTCTGAGGTGGCTGTTTCCTCCTCTACTTTGCTCTTCTTCAGCTACCAAATCAACCTCAGTGAAGGGGTCTGTGGGAGGAGTGGAGGAGACAGCCACACCTCTGGCTCTGCCACCAACTCCGGCTGCATTGGGAGTCATTGTAGATCCCCGTTGGACAACCTAAGCAGATTAGATGACTGGGGAGTGTTATAGGCAGCCTCCCCCACTCTGCTGGGCTCCCTCCCTGCACAGCCGATCATCACTGTATTTACAAAGCTGCAGACAGGGAAAATGCAGCTGTCTGAAGCAATGGTTCAGCTGCAAGGCACAGTGTCCAGCATGGAGGAGGGTGGCTGTTGGCTTTGGGGGGGGGTGTGAGTGAAATAAGGGGGGGCGTAGCCCACCCCTTCACCCCCCTAGATCTGGCCATGCTATGCGATCCAATTCTACACATTGCACCGCGTTTTGCGGATTGATTTCGGGGTGTTGTTAACAAACACACCCACAGCGGTTCACATGAATGGGGTGCGATTCTGATGCGGTGCGGAATTTGCACAGAAAACGCTGTGAATTCTGCACTGCATCAGCGTGAACACAGCCTAAATCTTTTTAATCCAGATGAACCCTTGAAATATTATTTTCAGGTTTTTGGGAATCTCTACAAAAAACTATTTATTGGTGCTCAGTGGAAGGAAAATGAAATAATTTCTCTCAAGGGAAGAGAGAGGAGGGGTAGGTTCTCCATCAGGAACTTTATTACATTAGACCTGAAGCTACTAACCTTTGCAATGCCTAAAGTTCTGAGACAGGAAGAGGACAGGACATCCCTGTAGTGAAGTGAATTTCTACAGGATCCAGCTGCCTACACTATTTAGAACATCTTCCATTACAGGTGTTAGGTCACCTAAGCTACAAAAAAGTTATTTTTTCTTATGGCTACTTTTGAGCTTTAATTAGTAATCACATTGTGGCTACTAGATGGTGGTGACAGTATAAGAATTAAATACACTGCTCAAAAAAAAGAACACTTTGAAAACACATCAGATCTCAATGGGGAAAAATACCATACTGGATATCTATTCTGATATGGACTGGGTAATGTATTAAGAATGAAAGAAAGCCCTATCGTTTGATAGAAATAAAAATTGCCTACCTACAGAGGACTGAATTCAAAGACACCCCCAAAAATCAAAGTGAAAAAAATTATGCTGCAGGCTAGTCCATTTTGCTGAAATTTCATTGAAATAACTCAAAATGGTACTCAGTAGTTTGTATGGCCCTCACATGCTTGTATGCATGCCTGACAACGTCGGGCCATACTCCTAATGAGACGATGAATGGTGTCCTGGGGTATTTCCTCCCAGCTCTTGGACAGTCTGAGGTGCAACCTGGCATTGTCAGATGGACCGAAACATGATATACCAGAGGTGTTCTATTGGATTTATGTCAGGTGAGCATGGGGGCCATTCAATGGTATCAATTCCTTTATCCTCCAGGAACTGCCAGCATACTCTCACTACATGAGGCCGGGCACTGTCGTACACCAGGAGGAACCCAGGACCCACTGCACCAGAGTAGGGTCTGACAATGGGTCCAAGGATTTCATCCCGATACCTAATGGCAGTCAGGGTGCCATTGTCTAGCTGTAGAAGTCTGTGTATCCCTCCATGATATGCCTTCCCAGACCATCACTGACCCACCACCAAAACGGTCATGCTAAACAATGTTACAGGCAGCATAACATTCTCCACGGCTTTTCCAGACCTTTTTATGTCTGTCACATGTGCTCAGGGTGAACCTGCTCTCATCTGTGAAAAGCACAGGGCAGCAGTGGCGGACCTGCCAATTCTAGTATTCAATGGCAAATGCCATTCGAGCTCTATGGTGCCGGCCAGTGAGCACAGGGCCCACTAAAGGATGTTGGGCCCTAAGGTCACCTTCATGAAATCTGTTTCTGATTGTTTGGTCAGAGACATTCACACCAGTGGCCTGCTGGAGATCATTTTGTAGGGCTCTGGCAGTGCTCATCCTGTTCCACCTTGCACAAAGGAGCAGATGCCAGTGCAGCTGTTGAGTTAAGGACCTTCTATGGCCCTGTCTCCTCTCTCCTCCATGCTCTTGAGACTGTGCTGGGAGACGCAGCAAACCTGGCAATGGCGTGTATTGATGTGCCATCCTGGAGGAGTTGGATTGCCTGTGCAACCTCTGTAGGGTCCAGGTGACACTGACCCTAGCCAAATGCAAAACTAGTGAAAAACAGACAGAAAAGATGAGTAGGAAAAAAAAAATGGCAGTGGTCCACCTGTAAAACCATTTCTGTTTTGGGGGTTGTCTCATTGTTGCCCATCTAGTGCACCTGTTGTTAATTTCATTAACACCAAAGCAGCTGATTAACAACCCCCTCTGCTACTTAAAGTGTAGTAACAGTAAAATCAGTCTGTATAGGCAGTAAACCATGATTGTTATACTCACTGTGGAACCTAAGGGGTTAATCCTCCAACACTGTTTAAAGAGGCTGTTTGATCCTGATTTTTCTGATCCTTCCCTTCTTCCAGTTTCCCCCTATTATCTCCTGGTAATACATATCATGTGGAGTCATTCTGCACATGCTCAGTTTAGTGTGTATTGCTAGAGAAGTTTTTTTTTCTTGAGACAGTGCATGTGATCAGCACAGGGCCAATCAGTACTGTCCATGCAGAGGTCAGGGGTTCTGCATCCTCCTAGAGCAGAAAGAAAACTCCTTCTACAAGTTTTAATCAGTTCTCTGCTGGACACTGATAGACGTCACACAAGACTGCTCTAACTGCTGATGAAAAAAAAAGGGTATTTAGCAGTTTATATTTACTAAAATAATTGCATTTCCATGTTCTGTGTACTGTGGGAGACCAGATATAGTGAATCTATACCCTGGGTCCAGGGTTTAGTAACACTATAACTGAACTAGATCAATATATCAGGAGTTTAATTGACTTGATGCTAATTGATGATTAAAAAGTGTTTCTTTAATTTTTTTTGTGCAGTGTATATTAGACAAAATGCAGCAAAGTTTCTTACTTTTCTACTTTTCAAATGTTTGTCACATTGCATAGCAAACATTTTATATATCGATACTTTGAGGGAGATTTATTAAAAACTGATGCACACCCTAAAAACGGGTGGAACATGTAACGTGTTCCCAAAGGCGAACTTATCCTCAGCTGCACCAGATTCTGTGTCCACCAGTTTTAGTAACCCCCCCCCCCCCTTGTGTTGTCACTTCAAGGTGTCCTAAATTGTCCACAAGAAAGACTTTCTGAAAACAAATCAGTCTTGGATAATCAACAGCTTCTGATTGAAAATTGATGTTCCATTAATACAGTATATTTATTATTTATGTCAACCTTTCAGCCTACTTATTGTTGTTTGGGCTGCTGTAACCATTAAAAAAGAAAACCATCATTGCATCATTGCTCTCCATGCACTGTAAGCTTTTCCACTGGTGCCTTTATTTTTAATGTTCTGTTCCCTGTCATACATTGTACATGCCCCTCTTGGGACAAAGAGCTCTTTCCTGAGACAAGCAGTTGCAAGAGGAATACAGAGAGATGGGAGGCTGACACAACCCTTTCCCTTTGCATTCTTACTGCCATTGCTTGTCTCAGGAATGTGTTCAGAGCCTAGACAAGTGTCCATTACGAAGAAGCAATCTCCTTCCTAATCATGTTGTCAGATGGCCAAGGGTAAGGGGGACCTCATAGCTAGGTCTCGAAAGCACCTAGTAACATGAAACAACATGAGAACATGAGAGTAACATAAGTACTGCATATATTTTGTACTATGGGTAACAGAACAGGGTAAAACAACTTTGGACCCATGTAAAACAGGGCAAGGGAGGGAGAGCAGTCTCAGGGCCCAGGAATCATCTAAAGGACCACTACAGACTGCTGAAGTGTCATGAGCCCAAGAACAAGGTCAGCACATGGCCACACTAAGGAGGGAAAGCAATGATGCAGGACAAATGAGACTTGGTAGGGGATGATTCAACTAATGTATACTGCCTACCCCTCTCTTTTGCCTCTTCTCCACTACCTAATGCCCCCTTTGTACTGCCTGTTTCTACCATCAACTGCTCCCTCTATTGCCTGCCCCCCACAATCAACTGCCCCCCTCTGTAGTGCCTGTCTTCACAATCAGCTATCCCATCTTTACTACCTTTTCCCTGCATCTGCTACATCCCCCTATACAGCCTGTCCCAACCATGAATTGCCCCCCCCCCCCCCCGTATTGCCTGTCCTCTCTATCAAGTGTTCCCCTACTTTCTGCCTCCACCATAAACTGCCCCCTCTGTACTGCCTGTCCACACCCACCAACTGCCCCCTCAGTACTGCCTGTCCCCACCACCAACTGCCCCTCTGTACTGCCTGTCCCCACCACCAACTGCCCCCCCTGTACTGCCTGTCCCAACCACCAACTTCCCCCTTTGTACTGCCTGTCCCCACCACCATCTGCCCCCTCTGTACTACCTGTCCCCACTACCAACTGCCCCCTCTGTACTGCCTGTCCCCACCACCAACTGCCCTCTCTGTACTGCCTGTCCCCACCATCAACTGCCCCCTCTGTACTACCTGCCCCAACTATCAACTGCCCCCTCTGTACTACCTGTCCCCACTACCAACTGCCCCCTCTGTACTGCCTGTCCCCACCACCAACTACCCCCTCTGTACTACCTGTTCACACCATCAACTTCTTCCCTCTGTACTGCATGTCCACATCATCAATTGCACCTTATTTACTGCCTGTTGGCAATATCAATTGTACCCTTTGTAACTGCCTATATTTTCCTTCCACTGACACCTCACATTTAATGCTGGGGCATTTCTTTTTTTCTCCATTGTTAGCAGTGTATACATAGGTACAGGTTTGGTTTAGCCATTCCATTTTAAGCCACCCCAAAATGTCTCTCTTTTCTATCCCATGGTGTACCAGGTTTTTTATTATCATAGTAATTCTCACGTTTTCACACCATTTTGATGTTTTAACTGTAAAACCAAGTAGATTACCCTTGTAGGTATTAACATTCACTTATTGTTTATATAATTTAAATTGTGATTGAAATAGGGTGTGATTTTGTGAGCATGGCTACAAATGGAAGTGAGATTTTGTGGGTGTGGTTACAAATGGATGCATCTAAGAGTATCCTTGGATTTCATTTTGAATCTCTGGTCACTTTGACACACATACTGTACAATGCACCCCCCCCCCCCTAAATACATATGCACACTGCAGTCCCCCTCCACACACATACATATAATGCTACCTCCTTATCCCCCCCCACACACATAAAATGTAGCCCCCCCAATGACCCCCCCATGCATACACACAATGCTGCCCCCCAAAGTTACTCACTGTACTCCTAAAGATGCACTGACTTCTGAGTGTGACCATGTTCTGAGAAGGAACAGGAAATGAACATTGAGCTCAGTTAAAAAAAAATGTCAGGCAATCACGTTGTTGGGACCCAGGACACCTAGCAAGAGATGTGGTGTGCATGACCCGATTCTAGCAATGCTCAACAATACCTTATTTGTAGAAGTCGTAAAAAAATTGTAAAAATTTGTAGCTTTGTAAAACAACATATTATTACAGTACATTCAGTCGCAGAACTACTAGGATTGCAAACGTTACACTTTCCATCGGGCCCTGGCATTCAGCCACTATGGGGGGGCCCAAGATGGCCAAATGGTGCTCAGGTTCGGACGGGTTACACTGAATGGGTGGGTAATATGAAGAGGGGAAGTGGGAGCACCAGGAGAAGAGAAGAGGATGATGACTGAGCCTGCCCTACACCTGGGCAATAGAAAAGGTAAGGAAAGTGTGACAGCTCTAACCAGGCCGCACAGAGTCTATGGGGGTCACTGTGGTCACCAGAGTTCCCCCTCTACATTGTCCCCTTTACATCAAAGTCTGCAGGATTCTCCCTTATAGTGTAAGGATGAACTATGTGGACCCTGATGTAAAGTAAGGGGAACTCTGATGTAAAAGGGAACTCTGATGCAAAGTGGAACACTGTAGACTCTGATTTAAGGGGGGGTGACCAGAGTCCACCTTACATCAGAGTCCCCCTTTACATTAGGGTCTGCAGAGTTCCCCTTTACATCAGGGTCCACAGAGTTCCCCTATACAGCATGGTCCATAGCATTCCCCTATACATCAGACTTCTCCCTTACATCATGGTCTGTAACATTCACCCTTACGTCAGAGTTCCCCCTATACACCAAGGTCTGCAGAGATCTCCCATACACTTTAAGGGGGAATCCTGCAGACTCTAATGTAAGAGAGAACTTTGTGGACTGTGATGTAAAGGGGAACTCTGGAGTCTGCTGTAGAGGGGAACTCTGCAGACCCTGATGTAAATGGGAACTCTGATGTAAAGGAATGCTATAGACCATAATGTAAGGGAGAACTTCTATGTAAAGGGGAATACTGAGGACCATGATGTAAGGGTGGGGGAGGGAGTCAGGGGGCCCCTCATGGTTTCTTGCACTGGGGCCCTGAAGGTTCTAGTTACACCTCTGACTGCATTGTTCCTTTATCAAAATCATTAAATGTTAGAGTAAAGAAAGAAAAACAGTTTCGTATTTGAAATATCAGATGTTTAATCCCTTCACAATACAGGTTACTTTCACCTCCTTCCTGCCCAGGCCAGTTAAAGAAAAAAAAATGTTTTTCTAAGTTTCTGCTATAAAAGTTTGCAAATAAGTAGTTTTTCTTCTTCGCTGATTTGCGCTGATGAGTCTGCACTGATGAGCAGTGATAGGCTGCACTGATGAGGCTGCATTATTGATGGACACTAATGAGGCTGTACTGATGGGCACCGATAAGACTGCACTGATGAGACTGCACTGATGTACACTGATAGGCTGCACTGATAAGCACTACATCACAGTGTAAATAGGAAATGCTGGGTATTGGCAGTCCTCTCCTTGCGTGCTATCAGGAGAGCCAGTAATTAGCATTTCTCAGAGAAGACATCTACACTGATGATCAATGTAGCCCCATCAGTGCAGTTAATAGTGCCCATCTGTGCTTTGTATAAGTGCCTTTCAGTGCTAGTTGTCAGTGCCCATCAATGATACCTGTCAGTGCCCATCAGTGCTGGCTATCAGTGCCGACTATCAATGCCCATCAGTGCTGCCTATCAGTGCCCATCAGTGCCACATATTGGTGCACCCTCATCAGTGCCCATCAGTGCAGCTTCATCAGCGCACATCATTGAATACAAAAAAATCACTTATTTACAAACTTTACAACAAAAACTAAGAACTTTTTTTTTCAACATTTTTGGCCTTTTTTTCCTTTGTTTAGCAAAAAATAAAAAAAAAACTCAGTTGTGATTAAATGCCACCAAAAGAAAGCTCTATTTGTCTCAAAAAATGATAAAAATTTAGCTTGGGAACAGTGTTGCATTACCGCGCAATTGTCATTCAAAGTGCAACAGCTCTGAAAAGCTGAAAGTTGAAAACTGACCTGGGCAAAGTGCTCGGTAGGTAAGTGGTTAAAGTTAGGTTCACCTTTGAAAACATGTTCCACTCGTATTTAGTAACATACTGCAGCTCTTGACACCTCTCTCCCCGGTCCCTTTCCCCGTAACTGGGCAGGGGTTCTTCTCTCTGCACTCACTGTCATTTTTTTTAAAAGTACATGGCTGTGCGGGGCTCTGCCCACACAGCAGCGCCATTCATTTATACTTTCCTGTGAACAAACAAACTACAAGCA